GGCTGGGGGCAGTGGCTCCCTGGAGCTTGTGGCTAAGACGGGCGGGCGAGGGAGCAGGGCTGGCCCTGCCTCTGCTAACTCCAGACACACAGCACAGACTTAAAATCCATCATCTCTTATTTTGGAGAAGAAAACAGTGCTCCTCACCCAGGATAGATATTTAACAAACACGCCCGTGTATTACCTCCTCTCCCCTCCTGCCCCTCGCCCAGCCACCACTATAAAAAGTATTAGGTCATAAACTAAGGCCCAGAAAAGATCGGCCTTTCCTAGGGAAGGGGCGTTCTCCTCACATTCCACCATGGGTGCCCTGGCCCCAGGGCAGCAGGCCACCGGCGGGCCCTCTGAGCCGGGGCCTGGACCCTGCCTGGCTGTAGGAGGCACGCAGGCCACGCTGACTGCCTCTGGGCCCCTCTCGTTTCCTGCTTCCCACTCACAGGGCTGCTCCAGAGGCTCCTGGGATTCAGGCCGGGCCTGGGGTGGGGGAGGCGGTGCACTGGGGCAGGTGCTCCCCCAGGTGCGGCCTGGCCGCCTCCCAGTGCCCCCAGCACGTTGATGTCCCTGCAGTACGGCCCCGGCCGCCCAGACGCCTGCACTGATCATGCCACTGCCAGCCGCTGCACGCAAGCTGCACACAGGCCCTTGCTCCCTCCTGAGGCTCCGGGTGGGGTCACCCCGTTTCCTCAGCCCCAGGGGCCGGTAGCTGGTTTTGAACTTGTGTCACTATTGATACTTATTTACTGTATAAATATAATTTATCATTTGTATCATGATGCGGTCTCTGGCTGTGTACTTCGCCCTCCCCCGTCTTTTCCGTCCTGTGGCACAGGGCGGTGGGCAGAATGTGGAGCCAGGCCCTGCCTGGAGCCCAGTTGGCCTGCAGTTGACAAGGCCACTGTCCCGATGGCCGGAGAGGGACTGGGGGCGGCCTTCAGGACACTGCTGTGGTCCGCAGGCACGGAGGTGGAGGTGCTGGGTCTTGGGGGTGCACCCCACTGGGGACTTGCGGGCTTGCTTCATGCCACCAGAGAGCTGCCCCTCAGAGGCCGCCAGCCAGCCGCACATCCTCAGGGTGACTCACAGCCGCCGCCTTGGTGGCTGGTGCGGGGCCCTGTTCCCTTCCCGAACCCGTCGTAGGAGGGAGCACAGCTGGGGGAGCACGGGGGCAGGGTGGGGAGGGCACGGGGCAGGCCTGTGCTTCTCTTGTGAGGGCCTGGGCCCCAGCCTCTGCTCGGGGCTGCCCGCCACCCACCTTTCCGTGCTGAAACCCTGGCCGTGGACCCTCAGGGAGCAGGACTTAACAGGGCCCCGGGGCAGGTTTGCAGGGCCTGCAGCAGCTGGGGATCCACTCAGGCGGGTGGGGGGGCCTGGAGGGCTCCTGGTGGGCAGCTCTCCAAAGGGTGTCTGGGGACTCCAGCAGCTTCCGTCTGTGCCACTG